TGAAAATAGTTCCCTTGAGGATCAACTGATGCTAGAATCGAATCGGTGTCTTGTGTGGAGCCAAATTCTTTAACAACTTCTTTGAAAAATAGAAAGGAGGAAGACAAGTGGGATAGCTTATGAGCAAAGGCCAAGCTGTATCCTTGGGGTATCTTCTAATTCTACTTGATGATGCAGAAGCCTGAGCTGGCTGAAGTGAGCACACTCAGCTGTAGCCTGGTTTGCCCACATCAGTAACGTTCTCAAGCAGGACTAAGGTGCAGGAAAAGCAGGAGATAATGTCTCTATCTGTAATGTAGAGCAGCCTTTAGACTGCGCCATGTTCTGCCGAGGGTTGAAGAGGCCGGAAAGGCAAAGATATCTTAGAGTTTGTGTTCCCCACCTCTTGTAGGTCCTGCTTTGGCATAGTTTCATCCCTTTTCTTCCCCTGGAGATCTGCTTCACAGAGCTGCAAGTTCAGACAATGATGGGACAATGGACAGGACAACAGAGGGCTTTCCCCTGCCTCCAGCGTTGGCAGGAATTGCTGAGTGCTTTTTCAAGTCACAGCTTTTTTAGTTGCTAGATATTTTGACGTAGGTTTAGGATCTTGGCTTTAAGTCTGTTTAAGGCACCAATAACGGTACTTGGGTAGCAGCACTGATTTTCTTGCAAATTAAAAGTAGAAATGGTATTGAGGCTTTCTTGAGAAGAATGGCCTTTTCAGGAGAAGGTACGTGTTAAAGTATGTCACAGAGGCATTGCACCAAGGGTAGATTCTTCTGACAGCACATGGGTGCATGTAGTTTTGCTGTCTGCGTCTGAAAAAGTTCCCTTCAGCTCCTTTTATAGTCACTGGAGTGCCAGTTAATACAGTCAGTGGAGACACGGAGGTGATTCCTCTCTTATGGGAGAGTCACACTGTAGACCTTGCTCTGCTGGTAACTCACTCAGATGTAGGAGCCTGCACTGAACTCCTGGAGTCAGGAGGGAGAGTTCCCACCGCGACTATATTTCCATGTGTTTCAGTGCTTTCGGCTCAGATCTTTTTACCCACTTGAGTCAGCAGGGCATCCTGACCAAAAAAAGGAACCAGAGAGAGGGTACATAGCACTCCCTGGCATTCCT